GGAACTTTTATGTACTATGTCATCAGAACAGATATTAGTCACAATTAAGTATTTAATCTATCTTATCTGACTACGTTACCATTATTGCTATTCTTTTAAATGATAAAGAAAAATTAAATGTATATAGAAAAGCTTCCCTTGCTTTCTCTGGGGATAACTACTGTAATATTTGCTTATGCTCAAAAAGTCAAAGGATGTGCACTTTGTGTTGTCCATTTGTTTAAAGGGAGATTGTTTGCGATCTAAATATAAACGTAAGTTCAGCAGTTGCATTCTCTAATAATTGACTCATACTTGAGTCTCTCTATGTGAAAAACACGAACAGCTAATAATCAATAATATGGCAGCAGTGTGTACAGAACAAATAAGAAAAGAAACAAATATTCGATGTCTGTACTCACATAATGCCAAGCAGAATACAAAAGAAGAGAAAAACTGTGTGCTTTAAAGCTGCAATCCTTAGAGGTCATTCACATTAATTTTTGACACACTGCCATTACACAAAAAATAACCTTGCTTAAACGCCCTTGCCACTGTACTCTATTTAGTTCAGTATTTATACTTTTTAAAAACATTTGTTCTCAATTTTGGAGTTCACCTTCTCAAAGCTTGAGATTTATGGATGGTGGAAATAATGGCCTCCTTTATATATATATGTGTGTGTGTGTGTGTATACACAAACACTCATATAAACTTTATAATGCACACACACACATACATATATATACTCTTAATGGAGTGGATAGTTATTTTCCCTTCTGAATAAACCGTTTCTTATTATTTCCATTTTTTCTCACCTATACTTGCTTGGGGGATTGGGCAGCTACAAGGCAAGGATTTTCCTGCTCAACTCGCACTGACGCTGGCCCACCAGGCTAGGCAGACCCTTGTGCCACTTGGTACCTCTCCTTTCTGAAATATCAGAACTCACTCCAATTCTTCCAAACAGTGAGAAAAAGCCCCTTATTCCACAAGCAAACCGAAAAGCTTCCTGAGATTTTCCCTGGGAGAAGTAGTACTGTGAGAAGTGGCCAGGGGCCCACCTTTTTAGCTCTCTCAAAAACCTGTGCAATATCTTCCAAATATCTTGTTGTTTTCACCTAAAGTTAGCGAAAAAGACTGGCATTGGCTGTGTTCACAGGAACCTTTAACGAGAGGCATTCCACCTCTCAGGCTCCACCCCAAACACGGCTCTCTGTTATTTCAGACGTCAAAACAGTAGTTTGCACCTCCCCTGCTTTTTCGGTGGAAGTCAAAAGACTTCCAAACACAAGAGTCGCTATTCAAAGACCAAGAAGTGTCCGTCTTTGCTTTTTAGAAGTACGTTTTTCATTTTTCCTAGCTCAGTTCATAGCACGACTTCACGATAACGGCAAACCTGCGTCTCTGCCAAGAACTGCATCTGCACAAGTGGCTCCTCCATATATCAGATGCTGTATAAAGTATGGAAGGAGCCCACAGCCTACACACACACACACATCTCAGCTGTTCCTAGTTTAGTAAAAATAATCCAATGTCATCCTTGAGGAACTTTAGTAGTTGCAGGATTTATATTGGAATAAAGTATATTTGCAAACTTCGAGTGCTACAGGAACTTTATTCAGCTTTCCCGGAGGGGAGCTTTGCTCGTAACAGAGGCAAACACCAAGTTCCCACAAGCTTTCCTTTTCCCCTACATTTTTGCCACCTACTTCCTCATCTGAGTGATAAAGTGTTGACCCTGAGTAGGTCATTTAAGACAACTAACCCCACTCCGACAACGCGGAGCTGAGCATCCCCCGCCCGGCTCCCCTAAGGGGAACCACTCTCTCCCTTGCAACAGCTTTCCTCCCCCTCAGGTTATCGGTTTCGGGCGCTGGCTAGATCTCGCTTTTAAAAGCCAGCCATTTATCCATTTTCCAAATCCCCGAAACACGGCAGAGCCCGTTCGTCTCATTTATTTTCCGAACGGCAGGCTAGCTGTAGGTTAAAATATAATAAAAACCAAGGGGCAGCAGAGGCTACGCCGGCCCCTTGGCTCGGCGCGGCTATTAACTAGTGGTAGCGCTGCCGCAGGAGGAAGCGGGACGCGACCTGTTGCTCTGCAGCGCGCTAACGAAGACATTCAGGCTGGATTAGACCTCGAGGACCTGAACCTAGCGCAACGAGATTTTAGGCGTGCCCTCCCCGCCTGCCATTCCAGCCGCCTGCAGCACACTATAGCTACAGCAGCTAATAACAGACCTCGCAGCGTTTACCGTCCGCCTTTTACCCCCGCGGGCTCCTGCCGTGCCCTCTGCCCGTGCTCTAGGCAATTAAGCAAAGAGCGGGAGCGGAGTCTCACACCGACCCACAGCAGAGTCGCTCCGTTAGGGTAACCTGCTCCTCTAAGGAAAATCTTGGAAGAACAGATACAGCTCTCCTACATGCCAGTCTGCCTGAAAACCGACCTAAATGCAAGCTTATTTTTAAACTCTATATAAATGCACGAAAACGTAGATAAGCTGTCCCCAGTAAAAACACAGGTAAGCAGCAGAGATAGCAGGAAGAATCGTGCTAGTTGTGCACCCATGCCCGCTCCTGAGACGCAGGGGGCCCCCCGCAGCCTTGCGAGGGGACACCACCGTGGCCCGGGCACCCTCCTCCGCAACGTCCCCTGCGTGTTCCCGGCGCCCTGAGCCACTCAGTGCCCGGTAGCCACCTCGCGCCGCGTTAATAGTCACCGAGGCAATTGCTTGCAGCCTGAGGTTGCGCGTAACCCGCCTCGCTGCTGGAACAGCCCCGAGGGTTTTGTCCGACTGGCTCTAGCAGGAGCAGGACCCGCTCTCCTTGCTTTGCTCGCGAAGCAGCGAGCTATTCCGGCCCCGAGAGCTGCTGCTGTGGTGGTCACCCCGGCCAGCAGAGGATAGGCCGAGCTGGATCCCCAGCTGACATTGAACTGATCCGCCGGGAGGTTTCATTCCCAGTCGGGTCATTTAAGGTGCGGTTCCGTGGTTAACGTTCACTGTTTTAGCATTAAAGGAGGGGAGAAGTGACGGCTAATCTCAGACGCTCACAGAAAAACAAGCAGAGTTTTTGACGGAAAACCACTCTGCCATGCTGGTTGCTTCTGGGTTCCTTTTTCTTAGCGTTACGTCATACTGATTATACTATTCCGTCACTGCAGTTCCTTTTCACTTTAGGCAAGTGCTTGCACTTAACTGAGAAGGTAAAACCGAGAAATACCCAAAGGGATGTATAGAGGAAATAGGCATGTATGGAATAGCTGGAATAGAGGCGATGGGTCCCTTCCTCTGCTAATCCCAGGCTTGCAGCTGCTGGGTGAATGCCAGAGTATTCCCCCCACTCCCGCACCACTTTTTAAGGTGAATCAAAAGGATTTTCTTTCCAAGCGAATCAGGGTTCACTCTCTACACAGGAGTGCTGACCGAAGTGTATGCTTTTTATGTGGGTGCAGTAACACCTTTCTGCTCATCTATTAGCACCACGCCTGCTAGCCCTTTCACGTACTACTCATGATCACCTAGTAATGCAGGTGCTGTGATCCGCATCGCTTTTCCCACCTCATCAGCGCTCCAGCACACATGACCCAGAGAGGACCAGAGCCTTTGCCTCCGCAAAGAGCCACTTCAGTTTGGGAAGCCCACCTCACACTCAGCTACCCAAACTACAGCCACCTGTGCATGCATTAGACCAGCAGAGGCAAAACTGTTGTTCCCCTGTAGCAGTAGTTTTGGGACAGGGGAGGAAGTGTCTCTCAAACGTTTCTAATAGCTACTCCGGAATCAAAAATGAACCGCGGAATACTCAGCCCTAGGTATAGTGAGGTACAGCCAACCGAACAGGTCTTACGATGCTAATGAAGTATCACGGCTGCCGCCAACAGCTGACGATATGGCCAGAGAGAATGCTAATAATCACAGTAATAAATACTTCAAAACAGTCTGACCAAGGTTTCCCTTCCTCACGGGGCCTGTGTGTTTCGGTTCAAGCAGCATAGCTAGAGCACAACCTAGCAATCCCGGAATACGAGGGGACGCATTAAGATATACAGTGTTTGAGCATTCACTCTGATTTGTTCTTTTAATTCTATTTTATTTTATTTTATCTTTTTTTTAAGTTTAGTTGACCCTTCTGGTCACCAACTTTCTTTGTGGTTCACTGTAAGGATCGCTCTCCAAGAACAAAAAAGAAATCTCGGAGCTTTGATAGAGACTCTGGATGAAATTAAGAACTTCAAACCCCAGATTTTTGAAAAGAAAAACAGATGTCCTGTTTGTTGAGTATAAATAACTCCGTACGTGGAAACCTTTTTTTTTACGCTGCGTTAAATTTTATTTAATGCTGGGTGCATTTAAACTATAAAAAAGGGGGGGAAGGCAGCAAAGTATGTGGGTGACAAACCTCTAAATCTTTCCCCCTCGCGAAAGAGAAAGAAACAGGCGGACGGGAAACCCTTCATCTAGATGAAAGTGTTCAATGTGTTTCCTAGCAGACCTGGCGAGCCTGCCCTGCTCAGCGCGGCAGCGAGCGGGCTCAGCAGCCTTGCTCGGTCGAAGCGGGGGAGAGGAGGGGAGACGAGCTCAGCCCTCGGCTCCCGAGC